GGTGTCTAGTATTGGGGGTCTTAGGATGCCATCTCTGCTTTTTGTAGATGATATCATCCTGATGGCTTCATCGGGCTGTGAACTTCAGTGTTTACCTGGGCCGTTTGCAATTGAATGCGTAGTGGCGGGTAGAGAAGTTCCTTGAGGTCTTTTTCACAAGTGTTGGTAGGTTGGGGCATGCGATTGACAGTCTGATTGGTGTGGTGGCAGCAGTAAAGTGGTCATTGTACCAGAGCAGGCTGTCATAGTGAAAAGAGAGCAACGCCTGAAGGAAAAGCTCTCAATTTACCAGTCAATATGTGCTCCAACCTATGGTCATGAGCCTCTTGGTAATGACTGAAAGAATACGTTTGTGGGTACAAGCGACTGAAATTAGTTTTCTCTGGTGTCTGGGCTGACCCTGAGAGACAGGCAGCGAAGCTCGGACATCCAGGAGAGACTCAGAATAGAGCTGCTGCTCCACACCATTTAAAGGAGCCAGTTGAGATGACTTCTGGTGGAAGTGTTCCAGGCATGTCCAACAAGGAAGAGACCCCAGGGCAGACCCAGGAGAGATTATATATATCGGCTGGCCAGGTGAATGCCTTGGGATCCCCCAAGTTGAGCTAGAGGAAGTGACCAGGGAAAAGGACATCCTTAGCCTGCTGTCCCCGCAACCAAATGAATGGACAGATGGATCTCTGGTCTGCATCAAAAAGGTATTTATTAGGGCTGTTAATTTAACACTAATGATAAAAAGAAACGATGCAATTAAAACCATTAACATTTCAGGTTAATTTATCACATGTTGTGTAATTAATTCTATTAATAAGATTGATTGACAGCCCTATAGTTTTAAGCCTAGGTATTATAGGCATTAAACGCAAGAATTGTTTAATACTCTTATCAGTAAAGTTTGGAGGAGTCAAGATAATGATAGATCAAAAAGGGTCTGCCATATGTTTATATGTATGTTTGGTGGTGGTGGTTGTGGCTGTTTGTGTTTGTAATAGGTCAGAGATTTCATTTTCTATATTTAGAAACCATGACAGTTGGCAGTTTTTTTTATGGTGACCCTGATGACTGTGTCTGGTGTCAGTTGACCTGTCAGGCATATGCGAAGGTGCAAATCTGTACTTTACCAAGATCACAAAATCACAGGTTGTGCAATAGTAGTTTTTAGTTTGAAACTAGTAACATTAGGAATTTACCTTAAAATATACAATACATATTGTTTGATTGACCCCATACCACCTTGGTGTGTTTCTTCCCCCTTTTTATTCTAATTATGACACAAATTTATTTATCCATCCATCCATCCCACACAGTAACTGAAGTTCAGAAGTGATTTGTGGCAAATGTACAAAATATATTTCAAGTACTTCTATAATAAACATTTTTTGTTTGCTGGTTTACATATCCTATTTCAGACATGTCACACTTTTTTTCACTCCCCAATGCTCACCTCCTATGTACACTGTTCTTTTCAAAATATTTATTTATGAGAAAACTGTCTCTGAAAATACATGCTCATCATACCCATTTTCCGTCAGTTACGCTCTCTCGTTTGGATGTATGTGATAGATCTTCAATATGTCTCAACCTGTCAGAAACAAATTAGAAGAAAAAAAACATGTCAATGAATTTTATTGGCCTTTTGCGTTTATGATTTATGGCATGCTGCTGTGACGACGGCAGGGGCATTGTGTGATGAATGTGCTGTTACGGTTGTCCGTTTGTTTCTGAGAGGGAGTGAGTCAATGCAATGGTCATGTGACTGGGCTCGATCAACAGTGGGATGTAGTTGACGTGGTGGATGGGGAGGTTATGGACACTCAGGTCATGCTCTCCAGAGGTGTTTACTGAATGTTAATTAGAAATGAGTCACTCGTTTATGCATCAGCATCGGCAGCAGCAGGTCAATGGCCCTGAGATGTGTTTTGACTTTTAAAACCTTATCTATTTATTTTTAATAAAATGTATTTACTACAAATAAAGTAGCTTTTATAAATGTATAACATCATTAAATTTTTGCTAGCTAGCAAATGGTGAAAATTGTGAGATTTCTATATAGATTTTAGTTTTAGTAATTTTAGTACTTAAACTTCTATCGTTTCACTTTGCATTTAATTTAGGCTACTTGCCATGGTAACATTTCTAATTTTCGTGTAAATTTTATTTTAACTTGGAACCACAATGATATGATGTGTTAATATGAGGTTACTAGGGTGTTAGGTGGTTAGGTTTAGGTTTTATATTTACAATTTTAATTTTAGTTGACGTTTTAGTAATTTTGCTGTTTTTGTCATTTTATTATTATTTTAAAAATATTTTTTAATTTCTGTTTTAGTAAACAAAGTTTTAGTATTTTCTTTTATAGTATTTTAGTATATTCTGTTTTAGTATTTCAATTTAAACCGTTTACTATCTTATTTCAATTAGTTGCCAATGCAACATTTGTAATTTAATTGTAAGCATAAATTGGTTTTCCTGTAATATTTATATTTCCGTTTTTTTTTCCCTTCTCAGCTACTATATTACATGAGTAGCAGTGTGATTTTATCAAAAAAAAATTTTTTTTAATGAATTTAATGAAAAACACAAAACTTACATTATTGGAAAATATACGATTATTAAAATATGACTCCTTTAAGTTGACCTCTTTTAATTCCTTTAGATATCCTTCTAAAGTGCATGTACAGTGGGTACGGAAAGTATTCAGACCCCCTTAAATTTTTCACTCTTTGTTATATTGCAGCCATTTGCTAAAATCATTTAAGTTAATTTTTTTTCCTCATTAATGTACACACAGCACCCCATATTGACAGAAAAACACAGAATTGTTGACATTTTTGCAGATTTATTAAAAAAAAAAAACTGAAATATCACATGGTCCTAAATATTCAGACCCTTTGCTCAGTATTTAGTAGAAGCACCCTTTTGATCGAATACAGCCATGAGTCTTTTTGGGAAAGATGCAACAAGTTATTCACACCTGGATTTGGGGATCCTCTGCCATCCCTCCTTGCAGATCCTCTCCAGTTCTGTCAGGTTGGATGGTAAACATTGGTGGACAGCCATTTTTAGGTCTCTCCAGAGATGCTCAATTGGGTTTAAGTCAGGGCTCTGGCTGGGCCATTCAAGAACAGTCACAGAGTTGTTGTGAAGCCACTCCTTCGTTATTTTAGCTGTGTGCTTAGGGTCATTGTCTTGTTGGAAGGTAAACCTTCGGCCTAGTCTGAGGTCCTGAGCACTCTGGAGAAGGTTTTCGTCCAGGATGTCCCTGTACTTGGCCGCATTTATCTTTCCCTCGATTGCAACCAGTCGTCCTGTTCCTGCAGCTGAAAAACACCCCCACAGCATGATGCTGCCACCACCATGCTTCACTGTTGGGACTGTATTGGACAGGTGATGAGCAGTGCCTGGTTTTCTCCACACATACCGCTTAGAATTAAGGCCAAAAAGTTCTATCTTGGCCTCATCCGACCAGAGAATCTTATTTCTCACCATCTTGGAGTCCTTCAGGTGTTTTTTCATGTGTCTTGCACTGAGGAGAGGCTTCCGTCGGGCCACTCTGCCATAAAGCCCCGACTGGTGGAGGGCTGCAGTGATGGTTGACTTTCTACAACTTTCTCCCATCTCCCGACTGCATCTCTGGAGCTCAGCCACAGTGATCTTTGGGTTCTTCTTTACCTCTCTCATCAAGGCTCTTCTCCCCCGATAGCTCAGTTTGGCCGGATGGCCAGCTCTAGGAAGGGTTCTGGTCGTCCCAAACGTCTTCCATTTAAGGATTATGGAGGCCACTGTGCTCTTAGGAACCTTAAGTGCAGCAGAAATTTTTTTTGTAACCTTGGCCAGATCTGTGCTTTGCCACAATTCTGTCTCTGAGCTCTTCAGGCAGTTCCTTTTGACCTCATGATTCTCATTTGCTCAGACTTGCACTGTGAGCTGTAAGGTCTTATATAGATAGGTGTGTGGCTTTCCTAATCAAGTTCAATCAGTATAATCAAACACAGCTGGACTCAAATTAAGGTGTAGAACCATCTCAAGGATGCTCAGAAGAAATGGACAGCACCTGAGTTAAATATTTGAGTGTCACAGCAAAGGGTCTGAATACTTAGGACCATGTGATATTTCAGTTTTTCTTTTTTAATAAATCTGCAAAAATGTCAACAATTCTGTGTTTTTCTGTCAATATGGGGTGCTGTGTGTACATTCATGAGGAAAAAAAATTTACTTAAATGATTTTAGCAAATGGCTGCAATATAGCAAAGAGTGAAAAATTTAAGGGGGTCTGAATACTTTCCGTACCCACTGTATGTTATTGTCCAATATGACGGCAGTGTGGAAAAGAAAGGGTTACAGCAATTAATGAATGTAAATAGAGGGTAATAAGTGAAGTGTGACCTGTTAAATCCCAGTGGAGCAGACCCAGCAGCCTCAGCTGATTGCTTCATTCCCTCAAACACATGTGCACATGCACACAATGAGCCTCGAACATTCTTGAACAATCTAAAAGATTAAAGCTATTTTAATTATACATTAAAGCATTGTCTCTTCGCTTCAGATAAATATGTTTCAGATAAATAAGTTTAGCTAATCCAGTTTCTCAGCATGAATGAGTTTGGCCTAATTCAGAAGAACTGCAGCAGGTGTTTAACTGGGTTCTGTCCTTACGCCCCACTTCCCGACCGCCTGCTGCTTCTGCTCGGTCTGATGCGCTGTACACTGTCATCTGCGATTGTGTGCTCCCATGAGCTTGCCAACTGTGGACAACAATTTACTTTTCCTGAAATGCAGCCTATTAGACTCAGTGTATTCACATTTGTGGTGTAAGTGGTTGTGCCGTCGTGTCTAGTTTTTACACAACTCCTTGTTCAAGCTCTTGTTTTCTCCAGGCTGTGCTATTGCAATGCTCTCTTGGCAGGTCTTCCAGCCAGTTCTGTCAAACCTCTACAACTAATCCAGAATGCGGCTGCAAGATTAGTCTTTAATGAGCCAAAAAGAGTACATGTCACACCTCTGTTAATCAATTTGCACTGGCTACCAATAGCTGCTTTCATAAAATTCAAGCCATTGATGTTTGCCTACAAAACAACCACTGGCTCTGCACCCCTTTACCTAAATCCAGACTTGTATGCCCTCCTGAAACTTGCATTCTTTAAAGGGTTAGTTCACCCAAAAATGAAAATCAGCCCATAAATTACTCACCCTCAAGTCATCCTAGGTGTATATGACTTTATTCTTTCAGACGAATCCAGTCGGAGTTATATTAAAAATTGACTTTGATCTTTCAAGCGGTTTCATGGCACTTGTTGCATGCTTCAGTCCAAAACGCATTTGGTCTCGTTCTGTATCGCGTATCTTGTCAGTGTCTGCGCTTGCTTGGCCATTTGTTGTGGAGAAAATAAGTTGTATTTGTTATTTATTTAAATTTTAGTTACATTGAATTTATTATGTCTGTATAGGTATTTTATTAAGTTTTTAGTTTTATTTAATTTGAGTTATTTTAATACTTCAACAAACTAAATGGAAATTAAATAATATACATATTGAATTTATAAATCTGTATGTACATATACAGTATATATGTATGTCTGTATGGTTGTAAATACTTGATGGTAGTTGTTTTTTTGGTGTTTGGCTTAGTGTTATGTTAGAATCATTATTATACTCTTATACCTTTTGTTCTTTAATATTTTGAATTGTTTTAGCTTTATTTTTTGTTTTTCATTTAAATGTTAAGTTTTGAAATTTTGTTGTATGCATTTGTCATTTTTATTTAATCTCTTTATTTTTAAAATGTGTATAGGTAGTATTTATAAAGTTTTAGCTTTTAGTTTTGGATCTGTTTTTAGTTTTTAATTTTAATACTACGATTGATTGCTTCTGTTGTCCTCATTTGGAAGTCGCTTTGGATAAAAGCGTCTAATAAATGACTAAATAAATAAAACAAGTTAAATAAAAAGGGCCCATCCATAAAAAAAGTCTCACACGGCTCCGGGGGGTGAACAAAGGCCTTCTGTAGCGAATCGATGCATTTTTGTAAGAAAAATATCCATATTCAAAATGTAATAATCACTTTAATGACCCTTTAAGTGAACGTCACTTTGTAGTGCCATCCCAAAGAGGCACAAAATCACTTTCACAGACTTTTACCTTAATTGTTCCCTGCTGGTGGAATGACCTGCCCAACTCAATCTGAGCAGCTGAGTCCTTAGCCATCTTCAAGAAATGTCTGAAAACACATCTCTTCCATCTACATTTGACCCTCTATCACTAGAACTCTGGAAACACTTTAGTATAGGGACCAATTCTCACTATTGACTAGTTGCTTATTAGCATATATTAATAGCATATTGGCTATTTATTAGTACTTATAAAGCACATATTCTGCAATATTAACAGTTAGCGAAACTGTTTGGTCGCGCTACATCCCTACTTGCTGGAAAAAGTAGTTAGCTACAGGAAAAGCTACACTATTTTAAAAGTAGCGTCGCTACTGTAAAGCTACTGAAAAATGTAGTTAAGCTAGTAGTGTCGCTACTTGTAGCTAGCTACTCCCCAACACTGCCTGGAAGGGCCAAGTTTGCCCAAACCTGCACTAGACCCATGCTTAGGATAGGATCCCTTGACACGATTGGTTATTGAATTTTGTGACGTAGGAAAAAAAAGGCTGTTTCAAACCGCGTTTCTGTGACTGCCTTTGACACGTACGATCACACCGGTGTGATCAGTCTTGGCTGGTCCCTGAAGCATACGATCACTCCGGTGTGACCAGTCTTGGCTCGTCCCTGAAGCGTACGATCACTCGGGTGTGATCAGTCTTGGCTCATCCCTGAAGCGTACGATCACTCCGGTGTGATCAGTCTTGGCTCATCCCTGAAGCGTACGATCACACCGGTGTGATCAGTCTTGGCTGGTCCCTGAAGCGTACGATCACACCGGTGTGATCAGTCTTGGCTGGTCCCTGAAGCGTACGATCACACCGTGTGATTAGAACTTTCAGTGCGTCACGTCATCAACTGCTGAATTTAAATCCGCTTTCGCGCTTTGGCTGGCGCAGAGCCAGATAGGATGCACTGAGCGCTTGTCATATTATCACAAATATTCAGTGTTTTAAACCATATAATGCTTATTTTAGGTTTCAGGCATTTAAATACACATAAGTACTAGCAAAACCATACATTTACAGTTTGTAAAATA